TGGGGGAGTAATCAGGGGAAGGGATAAAATATGTGTCCAGATGTCAAACCCGCAGCAGCACACAGCCAAGATGTAGAAGATGGAGGGAATGGCCTTGAAGGACAGGAGGAAGAACCGCTGCCAAGGCAACAGTCAGATAAGAGGGGCTTGAGCCCCAACCAACAAAGTAGTCCTGACCTCTACAGGATGGGTTTCTCAGTCTGGTCTACCTTGTTGGGCTGGCAAAAGAGAACAAGATTCACACAGCATCTCATTAATCTGGTTTAAGGCCAGGAAGAAAGGGTTGGATTGCAAAGTCTTGGAAAGTAAATAAGGCAACTGTAGCCTTCATCAGTTCGTGAAAACATTAAGGCAAGTTCTTTGCAAGTAGTTTAAATTTCTTTCTCATAGACTCCCTACCAATATCTCGCTGAAAAGATGAGGCTGAAACATCCGTCCGCCTCTCATTTCTTGTGTTTTGAACAACTCCCTTTCTTTCTGAATTCCCTTGGATCACATTTTGTCTTTTTGGAGACTTTGTGGTTATGGACAGATGGCTATGCTCAGCCTTCCCCCTTTTGGGTGCACATTCTCACATCCTCTTAACCACAGCAGAAAGATGCCCTATTTACCATCTTTATGGGGTTGGGTTCTCTAGGGGCTCCCTTCTTCTGATCCCGAGCCCACCATGGAGGCATCATAAAGCCATATTTATCTTAACTGGCTTTGAAGTCAGGCTGCCTCTCTCCTGCAATCTTCCCCTTGCATTTTGCACTGGGGGGTGGGGGGTGGGATTCCCGAAGTGAAGTTTGGATAAATGTTCCATGTGCGTTTGCAACCAAATTACACACCACCCACCAAGCCAGAAAAACTGGAGGGCTTTCAGGTTATAATGCTTCGTATGACAACAGCTTGTATATGTAAGTCTCTTGCCCCCAGACTCCTAGCAATATCATTTTAGGCCAAAAGGATTCTTTGCTTTCCAGGTTTTGCTTCTTGGAATTTATTTTATTTTATTTTTTTTATTTAGTTTATTTATACAATTTCTATAGCCGCCCATCTCAATCCAAGTGGCTCTGGGCAGTGAACAATTCCAAGAATTAAAACCATTTAAACAATTACAAATTATACATACAGGCAGCCAACAGTTTTAATCTGCTTTAATGCTTTAATTGCTTTAATCTGTGTCCACTATATTTAGAATGATGTACATTTCAACTAAAATTATACAGATTTGGAGCTATTTAAATCTAACTTGCTACAAAAGTTTGCAACTGGCTATTAGTTGATATAATTACAGGGTCATATGTCCTTTATTATAAAGGTCAGTGCTTTATTTCAGAAAGCTGTCCTTTAGATTTATTTATTTTTCAAAAACTCACTTTTGTCCTTTATTTTGGTTGTTTAATTTTTACCCTACAAATGGTACCACTTAAGGCACAGTCTTTCCCATTCATGTGAAAAATAGAGAAATTGAATTGTCTTTTTAAAATAAATTTACGTATACAGTTTGATTTTAGATATTATTAGCGTATGCATTTTTGTAAAGATTTTCCTGGTTTTGCTCTTGAATTTTCCTTTGTAATGCAAAGTTATAAACATAAACAATTAAATTTTTTTATCCTTATGAACGTCTTTCAGATGTGCCCCCTTTTCAGGTTTGTTCTTTACTTTTTCCAAGAAAATACGGTCACTGTAAATATAATGTAATACAACAGTGCTCAGAGTCTCTGGGAGTTAGGCGGCATATAAATTTAATAAATTATTATTATTATTATTATTATTAACACAATATAACATACAATAATGTATTTTGAGCAATGATATATTATAATGTATAATGTAGTACGCAATGAAGCTTGAACTGTGGAGGCTACATCAGCATTTACTTGAAAAGCAAAGTCTCCGCCTGGTGAATTACCCGTTGGGGGAGACGGGCGGCATACAAATGTAATAATAAATAAACAGATAAATAATAAATAAATTACATCTTTTCATACCCTCCTTTAGTTCACGGACAACGGGCAGATCATTTTCCCAGCTTCTGACAAAGACGTTGCCAGCTATCCCAACCCACCTTCCGATGGTTTTAATGGCCGTGAGAAAGTGCCGATGGTGGCCGCGTTTTGGGACAACGCTGACTTCTCCAAAGGGTCTGGCAACATCTTCTACCAGGTAAATGTTGACTGTTTTATTCTGTGGATCCCTGACAAGCAAAAATAGCCAAGTTAATCCATTAGGTATTTTGGATTAGCCTTTGGCATTATTTTCTTTGGAGTCCCTTTTCTCAGTGCTGATAGCATTTTTAATTTATAATGTGAATCCTATTTGTCCCCTGCCCTACCAGAAATGAAGACCAGGCAACCTCCTTGCCTGTTAATGTAAAAGGTTTGGGATGTCGCACCTGGAAGGGAAAAGAAATACCCTAAAACAAAATGAGATTATCGTTTAAACTGGGAAGCAACATCTCTGAGAGATGGTCTTTCTTTTTTAAGTTAAGAGCTTCTTTCTCACCATATTTCAAAAGGGGCTTTCCAAAAAGGTGTCCAAAGGCGAAACACGTGATAGGCAAGAAAAAACATTCTAATGTCCTTTGTTAGATCAGCCTCAAGGGTAATAAAAATACGCCTTTCTTTGAGATGTAAGATTTTTATTAGACGAGGGCACGTAGTCACACATGTTAAGCCTGGTTAATATTGGTTTGGTTAATATTTGTTTTTTGCGGTTCACACGTTCTTGGCTCCCTTTTGGTCGTGTGTATTCTTCCATGAAAGTGTCTTCAACCATCCTGCCTTAACTTGCTGCCTTCCAGACAAGCTGGACTACAAGCCACACCAAAGGAGATGGGGGGACCTGTAGTCCCACACTTTGGAAAAGAGCCCCCTGTTCTGGAAAGCTGTTCTAGATCCAGGGCCAGAAATGGTTCAGGAGGTCTCTGTTATCTCCCGCGCCATTAACCTAAACGTCTCCACTTGCAACACGCTCTTCCGTTGTGCGTAGGAATATCTTTGCGGGAATTCTCCCAAGCACCCCCTCGTCCAAGACGTGGAAGCAAAGATTCGCCTCTACGTTAGGTCTTCATATTCAGCTCGATGGTTGTTCAAGATCACCTGGGAGAAAGTCCAGCCCTACCCCGCGCAGAGGCAGAACAGCAAGGTGAGTTGCTCTCAGAAGCATCGTGCTTCTGGCATTTTAATTTTTCCTTTTATAAAGTCTAGCTCAACTCATGGTGAATCCAAGGAAAGGTGCGTGTTGTTTGTGTCAGCAGTATGGAAATTATCTGCCCTTGTCTCCTTGTGAAACCTTTTTTTGACTTCTCCAGCTGAGACTTGGTAGCCAATAAATTGAAGAACCTTCCAAGTGCACGGCTACTATCTTCTTTTATTTAACATCTGCCGAACCAAAGGCCTCCTGGTAAATTGAATGACAGCCCCCAGGTGCCAGATACCAGAAGTGAGATTATTTGGAAATTACCTCCCTGGGTTCAAAAAAATATGTCTTTTCTGGTCGGTATTATTGCTTGGAAAGTCCTGTTAGCAGTTAACCCTGGAAAGTGCCTATTGTTAGCAAAATTTGAGAGTTTCTGACTCTCCCCAATAAGGATTCAGCCCGGCAGAAGATCAGACACGAAAGTACCAGCTGAGATTTTAAAGTTTTATTGAAAGTAAGCTAATAGAGTCAGCTGGGGTCT